TTTTTTTTTTTTTTTTTTATGGTTGCATTTGGTATATATTAATTTTAAAATGTTTCCTCACTGGTTGTGGGGGGTTTGCTTTGAAATAGAAGGTTTGACAGTTTGGTCAGTTTGGATTTCATTGATCGATCATTGAAGTAGGGTCGGATTTTTTCTATTGTTTCCATAATGACTGGTATATTAGTGTCAATATCTTCACATAACGAGTGAATATTGGTTTGTTTGTTGTTGAAATTTTCTATTATATATTTAAATTGTAAATATGATATTGGGCTGTTGTTTTCATTGCTATCAAAGAATGATTCAGCTGGTTTGAGAATGTCGTCTGTACTGTTGTGTTCTAATTGATTAGAGGAGTTAGAGCGTGATATAACTTTTGGTTTTTTTTTTGTTGGTTGCTGGATTGATATTGGGGATGAGGGTGATTTTTGAGAAGTTGTGTCCGATAGAGGTCTTTTATATTGGTCTTGAGTTATATTGCTTGAGGTATTATTTTTGTAGTTTTCCGTGATGTGGGTATTAGGTGAACTGTTATCTTTGTTAGAGTCGCATTGATTTGTTGTTTTTGTTTTTTTATTATGAGTTGGATTTATATTTTCTTGTGCTGTGATATTGAGTATTGTTTGATCGTTTTCGTTTGTCCAGTCCATTTTGCTTTTTGCTGCGTATTCATCGAGAGGTGGGCTATCAGGAGGTTGTATGTTCTCTAGTATTTCAATATTGTAGTCATCCGGGTGGTGTTGTATTTGAATAAGATTATTTAGATGGTTGGGTGGTTGATTAGAATTTGTGTTGTTCATCGTGTTGTTTTTGCAGGACATAGAGGTGTGACCTGTTTGTTTGCAAGTGAAACATGTGATTTTATCATCGGTGAAAAAAATTCTGAATTGGGTTTCATTTATGTTTATTAAAAGTGTTCCGGGGAGTTTTGTGACGTCTTCATGTTTAATAAATATTTGGCGACGAAAACTCAGTATATGTTCGTAGCCTGTTTCTTTTATTCCTGCTTTGAGGTAGTTTATTTCTGATATCGGTGTTATATTGATGTGTTCTAGTGCGTTTAATATTGCCTGGTTAGGGATGGAAGGACATACATTTGAGATGATTATTCTTTTGGCTGGGTTGAGGAGTCGGCGTATAGGGATTTCATGTTTGTTTATTTTAACTATTCCTTGTGTTTTATCTAGTAGTGATTGTAGTATATGTTCACTTGATAAAAAAATGCATATGCGGCTCATTGATATTTTGGATACAAATATGATGTTGGTCGGAGTAATGATTTGTCCGATAGCGATGATATAGTCTTTTAATGGTATCCCGTCGATCGGGTGTAGTACAATAGCCTGTTCTCTTTTTGGTGTATTTGTGTTGGCCGTTGCTAGTGCAAAGTTCAGCTTGTTTGTGTCTGTAGCTTGTTTACTGTATGATGTTGAGTCGAGCGGTAGGGTGTGTGCGGTGTGTACGGAGGTGGTGTGAGAGTTTGAGGAGGTGGAGGAGAGGTTAGTAGTGTCGTGGAAACTGGTTTGGTTAGCGGTGAGCGTGTGAACTGTTGCATTAACGGATTTGTGTTTAACTGTAGAATTTGGTTGAACGTTGTTAGTTTTGGAAATTGTATTTCCTTTGTTTATCGAATTTATCGAGTAAGTTTTGCTGGAGAGCGATGATTTGGGCGTAGAGCCCGGTTTGCTAGGTTTCATAGTGGTAGTATGTTTTATATAAAATTCATATTACCTGAAATGTTCCGTGAGACAGTAGTGCTATCGAGAGCTTAAAAACGATATCGCGATAAGAAACACACGTGCTGCACTGTCGGGTGTGGAACACGTACTGAATGAATTTTATCTAATGTTCAAAACAAAATTATGCAAATTACGAGTGTCTATTTAATGTAATTAATTACATTATTAATATTAGGTATTGGATTTTAATATTTATTCCTATACAATTGTTTTCTTATAATTTATTAGTATTATTTTCGTTTCAGTTTTAACTAATTTGTTAGTTCTACATTTTGCACTATATATCCTATATTTTATAAGATTAGGCTAAATAATTGATTATTGATTTTTGTATAAAACTTTTCATGGATATTGAAATAAACAATTTCACAGCAGTTCATCACTGACCATAAACAATAATATAGTAAAAAGTCGAATAAATGAATCTATACGGTCTGAACTTTTTAAAAGAAATACGAATAAGATAATTTTTTTTTTTTTTTTTTTTTT